TTTTTCCATAGCTAGCAGGGACATTTTAGTTTGAAATACTGTATGAATGCAATGTAATGACACAAATGACACAAACATCTGTGGAGAGTGCCCATAACATAACTGATGAAAATTAATACAGTTTATCCCTTCATTCTGTGTTTGTATGTATGTTTAAGACAGTTAAAGAGAGAGTTTGAAATGTTGTTATTGACATTTCTGTCTGTGCAGTGCAGTTTTAAAACAAGGAAAAGCCCTACCCTGCACATCTGCATCCTTTCCAGAGTGTAGGTGGAAAATGATGAAGAGAACAGATTAGTCAGTTAATTACTGAGAGAGAGTGTGTGACAAAGTGACACAGAAAACAGTTATGTTTAAAAAAAAATAGTGTCCCTACATACCTCCTGAAAAACTGCTTCAGATTCTATAAAGAAATTACTAAACATTATAGTCTGTGTCTTTTTGGTTGCAATAGGAGTGGGGAATAGCTGAAATAAAAAAACCTTCGCTGCATCTGCACTGCAGAAAAATCCAGTTTGACACTGGTTTAACTGCCATGGCTCAGTGCTGTAGAATTCTGGGAATTGTAGTTTTGGGAGACATTTAGCCTTCTCTGTCAGAAAGCTCGAGTTCACAACAAATTACAAATCCCAGGATTCCATAACATTTGAGCCATGGTAGTTAAAGTGGTGTCAAAGTGGATTATCTGTACAGTGCGGATCTAGCCATTGTGATTGCATATTGATTTTCCAGACTACATTTTATTTTATAACATATCTACATATTCTTACCATTTCTTTGAAAAACAGTGGCTTGCTTCAAAATGCAGTAATAATATTAAAATGATCACTTGTTAACAACAAATGTATCTACAAATTAAAGTTTTGGAATGCTATCTCCAATGCTTTTAAAGAAACAATTCTCTTCTAAACTTCTTTACTGCAAAATCTTCCCATGATGTTTGTGGCCGCTTCATAAGTTATGTTTTCTGCTGATGAATTAATTTGTATGCAAAGCACATCTGGTCATTGCCAAGAGAAGGAACAAACTCCAATTTGTATGCATTTTGCCACAAAATGTCTAATTTATATTTGTCTGTATGCTTGATGTGTGCAAACCTGTGCACAGGAATTTTTTGCTCAAGAATTGGTTCACTTGATACAGAATATAATATATAAATTAGTCCTGGATCAGCAGTAAGGGAGGACAGGCAAAGTGCTGCTTGTGGACTACTGTGAATTCCCAGGGTATATCCACACTGCAGAAATAAAACAGTTTGATACCACTTTAATTGCTATGACTCTATCCTACAGAATCCTAGAATTTGTAGTTTGATGAGGCACCAGAGCTCTCTGACAGATCAGGTTGAATACCTCACCAAACCACAAATCCCCAGGATTCTTTAAGATGGAACCATGGCAGTTAAAGTGGTATCAAACTGTTTTAATTCTGCAGTGTGGTTAGTAATAATAATAATTTAATAATAATTTTTATTTCTAGCCCGCCTCTCTGCTTGGCAGTCGGGGCGGGTTACAGCATAATTAAAAACAGAAAACAAATTAAAACAACCAATCCCTATTTCCCTAACCCTCCCACCCCTTAAAACTAGATTAAACTGACATGGAATTAAAATACCCCAGGACCATCATGCCCCCACCCCACCCTGTGTCCAGTTACTTCCTGTTTAGAGATTTTTATTGTACAAGCCTACAATTGGAGGTGGGGGGGGGGGGAAGAATGCCTGAAAGTCTATAAAAGTATATTTGGTTTATCCTTTTTTTGCATTTCAATTATATCTGTCATGTTAGAATTTAATTTCTCTAATAAACAAGAAGTTATACCAGTGGTAGCAATCTGGATGTTTTAGACAGATTATACAAAAGCATGATCAAAGTGATGACAGCAGCAGCTGAAATGCAATGTGGAAACTAGGGTCTCAAACACACAGGCCAAAGGGCCACCATCAGGCCACGTTGCGGGTGTGGTGTTTACACGATGCATGTCCTGAATGTGGCCAGAAGCCAACCCGAGCCTGCCCCGCCCCGCCCCGCAAGAGCCAGACCAAAATGGAGAAGCGGTGGTCCAGATCGGGACCAAGCATGTGCTGTTGCTTCAGTTCCAACACAAACGGCGTTTTTGGGCTCTCTGTTTGAGGCCTAGGTGGTAATGGCCTACTAGGTTTACATTTATTTTTTTCATTTTAAAAAGTCTTACTTAGGGCCTGTACAGACTGGCCAAAAGGGCCGGCCTGGGGGTGGAGTTGAGGCATGGCAATCACACACCGGCTGCTCCGATTCCGCCCCGATGCCACCGTCACACCGCGCGACCCACCACACATTATGCAGCATCAGAGCACTCCCTTGGCGCAGCATACAGACACGCTGCACCAAAGGAGTGCAGAAGAGCCACCACAGCTGTGGTAAGGGCAGTTTTTCCCAGGTCTTTTTGGAGCGTTAAAGTGCCAAATCGGGGCCAAGGCATGTGGTTGTCATGGCCCCGATCCGGCGCTCTCAGGGGTAGCACAGAGTCGCTCCTTAGGGCCCATCTGTATAACCCCTTACTCTTCAGTTTTCAGTTTAATAAAAATCTAACCTTATCTTTGTCTTGTTGCAATTGATCCTTTAGGTGACAAATTGTTCAAATGCGAGGAATGTGCCAAGCTTTTTAGTCGAAAAGAGAGTTTGAAGCAGCATGTTTCATATAAACACAGCAGGAATGAGGTCAGTATTAGTCTACATTAACAAACCATGTATGATTAGAGGGTTTTGCATTCCTATGGGGTAGAGCATGCAGGGAAAGCCTCTCTCTTGTCATACTGAGCAGTCCAACAAGGGCAAATGAGGAAGAAGATCCACCACTTCCTATGCTAGCAAGGCATTAGGTGATGTGTTTCATTGAATCAGTCTTCCTCCCTCCAACAGCAGTAATTGCTCTTTCCCAATCATTGTATTTTTACTCTCCCATTGCTGAAGCTGTCATAATTTCTTTTCTATTTGGAGGCATGTCACTGAAGTAGACAGGTTTTGGCTTTTATGGCTCACCAAAGCCACTTAATCTGCCCAGGACTCACCCTCACAATACTTCCTTTTTGCCATTTCCATGACATAGGTTTTAGCAGCAGAAGAGTAAAAATATTTAAGCTTCCAACTGAGTAGAGGTTTGTCAAGGAGGATCTCCTCCTTCACCCATGGACTTACCTCTCTGTACAGGCACAGAGGAAGTTTGATTTTATTCTTGGGTCCCTAGAACTCATTCCAAGGGCCATAAGATTGCTCTCATAGTTATTTTGTCCCCAGATAAATATGTTATCGCTACGTTTACGAAAGCCTAGGAGCCTCAGAAAGACCATACAAACTTTCCCTACATTCAAAAACGTCTGACTTTCTGTGTGAGAGTGGAGAAGGAGACATTTAGTCTGTGGAACTGGAGAGGGAGACAGTTTCATTGGAGAACAAATAAAAGTATTTTTTTTAAAGCACAAATGTCATATATAAGTCATATGTGTTGCGTTCCCCTTTCCCTCCTTAGTTAGGCAGGGACTTTCTCCCTTCTTCCTTCTCTCATTCTGTCTTGCAGTTTAACTTAGGGGGGTTGCAGACTGCCAGAAATAGTGCAAATTGAATCTACTTTTAGGGTTAGGGTTAGTGCTAGGGAGTCACGGGAATTGTTTTTTGTTTTTTTTCTGAGACATTGAGCCTTCTCTGTCAGAGAACTCTGGTGCCACAATAAAATGCAGTTCCCATGATTCCCTAACCCTAACCCTAACCCTAAAAGTGAACTCAATTTGCACTATTTCTGGCAGTCTGCAATCCCCCTTACTCTCTGAACATTCTCAATCTCTGAGTGAGGTTAACAGTTTTCTTCCTACTATATTAACTCCAGTTAGATTACCGTAGGTTTTAGTTTAGTTTATGTAAATATTTATTAAAGCTTTTATTGTTTGTTTTTAAACCTCAAACTACGTTTGTCATTTTTGAGTTAAGACTTTATTCTTTAGGAAGCCATATTAAAATATAGTCTGACCCACGTTTTTTGCTGCTCTGCTGATGAAAGCTGAACTCTAACCATCTCTGCATATTTTAGTTTATCTTTAAAAGGGTTAACACCCTGGGAAACTAAAATTGCACCCTACAATATGTACATACTTATTGTGCTTTCTTTTCAGTTTTCTGCTTTTTGATCCTCAGGTTGATAACGAATACAGGTATAGGTGCCCTACATGTGAAAAAGCTTTTCGGATAGAGAGTGCATTAGAATTCCACAACTGTCGGACAGGTATGGGAATAATCAAATAATCTTGTATACCGTAACTAAAGACCTAAGCAGACTGCCAGAAATAGTGCACATTAAATTGAGGCACTGCCCTGGCTCAGTGCTAGGGAATCATGGGAACTGTATTTTTTTCTGGGACATTGCGCCTTCTCTGTGAGAGAGCTCTGGTGCCACAATAAATTACAGTTCCCATGATTCCCTAGCACTGAGCCAGGGCAGTGCCTCAATTTAATGTGCACTATTTCTGGCAGTCTGCTTAGGCCCTAAGTTATATGAAATGGTCTATAAGTTGATTTATGCAGTAAAAAAAGAAATAGCAATGGTCTGGTGTATTCCTTTTCTATTATACAAAATCACTGTTAAAATTGACAAATATGTGTGTCTCAGTTTTCTATAATCATAACCAGTTCAGGTGAAATAAGCCACAGCCTCATTTCAGTTCCCTGAAAACTGAACAAAGTTATCTTCCTTGAATGTAGCCCTTCCATCAGTGGAAGGGACTGGATCCAGTTCATAATATCCACTGAGGGTTTTGGAATAATTGTTTGGACTGTATTCAGGCACAACTACAATTTGGTCCTGTCAGACCCATATGAATACTTAGGGTGGGATAGTGCATCATTGCAAGACCCAGGATGCTTGTAGTGATAGGATTTTGATTGCATGCTGTTCTAACCAGGGTAGGTTAGCACAGAATTCTCTGTCTTGATATGCAGCAAGTATTTGGTATTACATCTCTGCATAGGAGAGCCAGTGTGATGTAGTGGTTTGAGCATTGGACTATCACTCTGGAGATCAGGGTTCCATTCCCTGCTTGGCCACAGAACCACACTGGGTGACCTTGGGCAAACAACACAAAACCCTATGACAAGTTCTGCTTAGGGTTGCCATAAGTCAGAAATGACTTGAAGGTACACAACAACATCTGCATAGGTTTTCAAGTGACATGGCGGGTGGCTCTACCACATTTGACCCACTCAGTAAACCAATATAGGTAACATTAGTATAAGCTGCACTGGGCACTTTCACATCAGTGTATTGCTTTACCATCAGGGTGTTAACATTAAAAGTATACATTAAAGTAATCACAGAGTTTCTTTCTAGTTTTAAGAAACAGCCCCTTGCTCTGTTGTGCAGCTGGATTGCTTGGCACATTCTTAAAACAACGGAATGGTTTTAAAAAAATAACATACTTATTTGTTTCCCTCTTTTCTTGTAGATGACAAGACGTTTCAATGTGAGATGTGTTTTAGATTTTTTTCTACAAACAGCAACCTCTCAAAACACAAAAAGAAACATGGAGAAAAGAAATTTGCCTGTGAGATCTGTAATAAGTTGTTCTATCGGAAGGATGTTATGTTGGATCACCAGAGACGGCATTTAGAAGGTAAGTACCTTTGTGATGTATCTTATTATCAGTCTTGTCTTGTCAATTTAAATTGGGATTTTTAGCAAGTGTTTTTGCCTAGCTGATGGTGATCATTCCAAAGCTGGACAGATGACACACTGAAACACTACCTTTTTGTCTTCATGGTAACGGTACTGGTATAAATTACAAGAAGTTTTGCACTACCCATGTGTAACTGTATGTCTAAAACTGTATGTCTGCTGGACTTGAGCCCCTTCCCCACTGCCTTTCCCTTCTTGTTTTATGTCATGTCTTTTTAGATTGTAAGCCTGAGGAGATCCTTGGGTGAAGAGCAGGGTATAAATACTATCTATAGATAGGTAGATAGATTAGATAGATTAGATAGATTAGATAGAGAGATAGATTAGATAGACAGATAGATAGATAGATAGATAGATAGTCCAACATTTATCTTATATTGAATGATATTTAAAGACTGATCATGCCCTTTTTGACTTAAAAATTTCTTATATGTCCTTACTTTTCTGTCTTTCCTTATGCGTGTCAAAGCAAAATTAATCCTTATTGTTTTTTCAACATAATGAAAAAATAAATATGAAACATATATATGTTGACAGTTTATGGCTGGATATGCTTCTATAGCTACAGAGTTTAGAGCTGATCAACTGAAGTGTGACATTCAATTACTGTTTATCTGAGAAACTTGGAAAAGTGATGCAGACAGTTTTTGAGTACAACTACTTCTGCTATTTTAGGCAAAAATACTTGATGAGAGTATTTTTACCAAAAGATGCATCATGCATACATACACCTTTACTTAATGCAGGGAATCAAATTGTTAATACCAAAACAAACAAACAAACAAACAAACAAAAAAACCCAAATGACTAGGAAGGTAGGACAGAAGTTGAGCACTATTCAGCTGAAGCCGGGACCGGAGAAACGTCCTGGTATTTTAACACAGAAATTGTATGCAATGCTTTCCCACAATTTATTGTAAAGTAATTTATATCAGTAAATCCAAGAGCTCAGCCTCTGCATATTTTGAAAACTATAAATAAAAAGCTAAAAATTCTGAACATATTTTCAATATAATTTCTGAACTGCTTTCTTTTAAATCCCATAATAATAATAATAATCATTCAAGAGTTCATTCAGTCAAGAGTCCTTTACACTGTATTTTGTTGTCAACTGCCATGACATTAACTTCAATTTATGGTGGCCTTATGAATGCAGGACCTCCAAGTCACCCTGCCATCAACAGACCTGCTCAGGTCTTGCAGACTCAGAGCTGTGGTGTCCTTGATTGAGTCTATCCACCTGTAATATTGTCTTCGTCTTTTCCTACTACTTACTACCTTCTCAATCATTATTGTCTTTTCTAGGGAATCATGTCTTCCCATGATATGTCCAAAGTATGACAGTCTCAGTTTAGTCATCTTGGCTTCTAAGGAAAATTCAGGATTTATTTGCTGTATAAAGATTTATTTATCTTTTTGGCAGTCCACAGTATCTGCAGAACTTCCCTCTAGTACTACATTTCAAATGAGCTGGTTCTCTTCCTATCAGTTTTGTTCACTCTCCAGCTTTCATAGTCATATATAAAAACTGGAAATACAGTGGCATGGATAATCCTAATTTTAGTATTAAGTAATGTATCATTGCACTTCAGGATCTTGTCTAGTTCCTTCATAGCTGTCCTTTGAAGTCCTAGTCTTCTTTTGATTTCTTGACTGCAATTTCCATTTTGATTAATGACTAAGCCAAGGTATAAAAAACTGACTATTTCAATATCTTCATTGTCTACTTTAATGTTATGTAAAACAGATGTGGTCATTTTTTAAAATGTTCAACAGTAACCCTACCTTTGTGCTTTGTTCCTTGACTTTCATCAGTGGTCATTCCAGGACTTTGCTATTTTCTGCTAGTAGCCTGGTGTCATCTGCATATCTTACTTTGCTGATGTTCATTCCTCAAATTTTCACAACTCCTTGCTCAGAGTCTAATCTAGTTTTATACGTGATATGTTCAGAATACGTTAAACAGATAGAGTGATAAATTGTAGCCTTGCCTGACCCCCTTGCCAATTGGAAACCATTTTGTGTCTTCATATTCTGCCCTAACAGTGGCCTGTTGTCCTGAGTACAGGTTACACATCAGGATAATCAAATGTTACAATACACCCATTTCTTTAAGATGATCCATAGTTTTTCATGATCTACATAATCAAAGGCTTTGATATAATCTATAAAGCACCAGTTGATTTTCTTCTGAAATTCTTTGATGTGCTCCATTATCCAAGATATGTTTGTAATATGATACCTAGTGCCCCTTCCTTTCTTGAAACAACCTTGGACATCTGGCATTTCTTGCTCCATATATGCTAAAATTCTTTATTGTGGAATTTTTAGCATCACTTAGGGGGGAAGCAGACGGAAGCGCTGGAGACGCCGCCGGACGGAGCGCCGCAGGACCGCAGCCTCCGCACCGTGGCGCTCCTGCGGCGTCCCTAAAAGGAGCCCCAAATTGGCACTCCTTTTAGAAGACAGGGAAAGTGCGCCCTAAATGCGTAGGGCGCACTTTCCCTGCCTTTTCCGCCGCAGTGCATGCGGATGCTGCAGCGGGAGGTTGTCCCCGGAGCGCCGGCTGTGCGGAGGGCCGGCGGCTCCGAGGACGACCTCGGGAAGAGGAAGGGGCGCCGCGTGTGCGGCTGCCCCTCCTCTTCCTTGCCTCGGAGACGGCTCAATAAGCTGTCTGCCGAGGCCCTTAATTTGCTTGCAATGGTCCAGTGGTTACTCCAATCCCTGTCATCTCCTTTCTTGGGCAATGGAATTTATATTGAGCATTTCCAATCTGTGGACAAGTCTTTTGTTTTCCATATTTGTTGATAGAGTTTAATTAGAATGAGTGGATTCTGTTTCTGTTGCTTAAAACAAGCTTTATTGGTATATTATCTGTTCCTGGTGATTTATTTTTCCCAAGAGTTTTGAATACCACTTTCACTTTGCTTTCTAAAACTGTAGGTTCCTCTTCAAACAGTTCTTTCTCAAATGAATCTGTCACCTTTTCATCTCTTTTATATAGGTCTTCTTGTGTACTGTTTCTATCATCTTTTTATTTCTTCTTGGTCATGTAATGTAATCTCTTGTGCTACTTTTCTGCTGTCATCTTCTATTTCTCTGCATTGATTGTTATAATACTTCTCTTTGTCCGTGCGCAAAAGTCATTGAACAGTTTTGTTCAGGGTTCTGACTGTATTTCTGCCCCCTTTTACTTTTGCTTCTCATCTGTCCTTAACTACTTGAAGAGTTTCATCTGTTGTCTATGGGACATTTCTTTCTTTTTGGCTGCAGATATTATCTTTTTAAATTTTTCCTTCACAATGGCTCTGGCTTCAGTCCAGAGTTCTTCTGTTTCCCAGTCAATCGTGCTTAATAGAGCAAATCTATCTTTCACATTATTTTTACATTTTAAAGGGATGATCTTCAGGTTGTAATTTTGCACACTGATTGATTTTTCTTTAGCTTTAGCCTGATTGTTGATATTAGCAGTTCATGGTCTTTATCACTATCTGCTCCCAGTCTTGTTTTTGCAGACAGAGTGGCGCTTCTCCAGTTTCTGCTTCCAGTTATGTAGTTTACCCAAATTTCTGAACTGGCCATCAGGTGATGTCCCTGTATTCAGTTACTTCTTTCGTTACCAGAAGAATGTGTTTGTGATGAACAAACTGTGGGTTTCACAAAATTCAATAATTTGATCTCCTGGTCCATTTCTTGACCCTAAGCTTGATTTTTCTACAGTCTTTGATTCTGCTCTGTTTTTGGCATTGGCAATCCATTCACATACACACATTGTTTTGGTGCATGATCAATTTCTTTCTGGATTACAGTATTGACTCTTTCAGATTCTTCTGCCCCTGTAGTTACAGCATAAATGTGGATTTTGGTTATACTGATGGGTTTTCTCTGAAGGCTTATTGATATTATTGGGTCAGACTTCATATTATATCCCTTGACTGCTTTTGTGACATCAGTCCTTAGTATTAATGCCACCCCATTTCATTGTAGATTTTCATTTCCTGAGTAAAATGCTCTGTAATTATCTGACTCAAAATGACCACTTGGTCACTTTAGCGCACTCACCTTATGTATTGCAATGTTTGTATATTCCATTTCTGGTTTCACAATGTCTAGCTTTCCTTAATTCATGCTGCTCACATTCCATGTTCCTATAATATGTATTGTGCATCTTATGACTTTCCTTTCACCTCTGAGCATGTCAACTGCTGAACATCCTTTTGTCCAGTTATATCATTAGCCACACGGCTACTCATACTTGTCCTCTGCTCTTACACTGTATATTATTCTTAAATACATAAATTGTTTCATGATGAAAAGTCATAGCATTAGGAATAACTGAGTCATAGTAGTTGAGCCACCATACTATAGTTGA